GGATTTGTTGAGGAACTACAGGATATTGAACTGCATCAGGGTGTTATATACACTCACCGGCAAAAAATACCGGCCAGCAAATGTTCGCCAAATTGATCACCCTGTAACTTTTTCAATTCTTCTTAGATCCTAGTGAAATTCCGACCAATTCGTAGAATAATTTTTCGGAGTTAATTCGCGAAGAAAGCTGATGACTTGAATATTATACAGTGAGAAACAAAAGTTACTCTTTCACCCTTAACGTCTTAACGCTCTGTGCAAAAGGTGACAGATTGTTGAACTTAGCTTCATCATCATGTTTCGAATTGAAGTGTGATCCCTCCTTAACATAATAAGTTCTGATTGACGTCATTATGTTCATTTTGATCATGCAACTTCCAGATTTTGGATTTTTGATGCCGCCTCTGATGTTCAATGGCCTAAAATCGGTTATATACCTTGAATAACACCACCGTATATACACGTAGAAAAATGTTTCGTTTTCCACATCACGCTTCGACCTACACTAAAAAAACATGCTTGCACTATTGCCACGATATAATAGGGTTGTTTCCACCATGTTGCGATATAATAGATGGTTAGTCCATCCATATCGATTAATAAGGGGTTTGCTTGGCTCAATAGTGTGCGAGAGGTAATATTCAAATAGGCACTAATAGTATAGGGGTATAGCTGAAAGTACAAGACTAATATTCAAACAACAACATAAACCATTTTTATTGAAGCATAAAACATTATGGGTAGCAATGAAAAACATGAATAAACAACAATGAATATAAAGACCTAATAACATATTTACATTATAATGACCATTACGACAAGCTCTCGTCAAGTCAAGAGTAGCCCCAGACCAGACTAACTTCGGAACCCCCACATCCAATATTTATATACAACAATTTATTAGATTCGCACGTATCTCATGAGAGTTTCTTGGTCAGTTTTCATAATTCAATGTCAACGGATGATTTGATTAACTTTATGTTTATAAAACCCTCATGGTCCGAAATTACTAAAATACCGTATGTTCTACTCGTGACACTATTCGCAGAATGATTGTTGAACTTAGCTTCATCATGTTTCGGATTGAAGTGTGATCCCTCCTTAACACAATAAATTTTTATTGACGTCATTATCTTCATTTTGAGGGAAGATACAGGTGTTTTCAGAAAGTATGACACCTTTTCATTCTTATCAACTAAAATTCAGAACCATTCTCCAACCTTCTGTTCCATCATATTTTGGATTGAATTGAATTATAATTCTATTTTTCTTCCCTTCCCAACACAATGGTTCTTGTTTGACGTCAGAATCTTCTTTTCAAGAGGAGATACAAGTGTACAATTAATCACTAATTTATAATAAAGGCTTTTTATGCATCGTGAACGTGAAATTCCGTAAGCAAGGAAGCAACAGAATTATCTCGAATGATCAGAACATCGTCATATAACTTATGACAACTGTCAAAAAATAATCTCCGTACAATTCGATTGAACACAATGACGGCAAATTTAAATCCGGCGCTCTTGTTGGGACATCCTTTATAAATACTATTCTGCCTGATTTCCTATGAAATGTAATGTAAATTTGAGATTCATGATGTCATTGATGATTTCAGCTGCTTTTGTTCATTCGATAATACATATCGCTCCACTAATGTGCCATTATTTAATCATCAACCAATTACAAATCCACATTGAAATACGACTACAAATCGACCATCAAAATGCCGCTGTGAAACCGAAACAAAAACCCTCCCACTTTCCATTTCCTGCTGTTTATACAGCCCTTATGTACGCACTAATTTTCGTTTCAAAAGATCTCATCCAATTTTCATGATACGGACGGTTAGCGAATGGAGTCTCGCATTTGAACATTGCCTTCTAGATTCGTGATCATGCAATAATCAAAATCGATTTAATCAGAGACCAAATACTGTGTTTGCTCGGCGAATCCTATAATATTAACTCTATATGTCCAGTGTTTGCTTTGGCTCCTATGAGACCGATTCTAGAAAGCTGCTCGAATTTTGTTTGTCAGTAGCGTAGCTTCTCATCGATCCTCGTTAGGTTGATTGAATATTATTATACTGTCGAAAATACGAATCTAAGAAGGTTCGTTTCTGGAAGATACTTGGATGACTTGAATACCGAGACTAGATATCACCTAATCAACTATCGAATATCATGTATTCGTATTGGCATTTTTGTTACCACGATATACAGAGTGTCCCAGGACAACGTACATTAAATTCAACAGGATGAACTAGAGTTCAAAATAGGTCGATTGGGACCAACTTACCTCTATACGAAAATGCACCGTTGGGCCGTGAGAGGGCGATGAATGGAATTTTCAGATTTTATTGAATATTCCAAAATCCTTGAGAGGTAATGATCTGAAATTTGGAAAGCAGTCAAATACAAGAAGTGTGCATAGGAAACGGGTCTCATCAGTGCAATCGATTTATAGGGAGATACAAATTTAGCATTCTGATTGGAGAAAATCCATAGAACTTTTTTTGAGTCCGCCACTGACCATATTTTGATATCTACTCGAATAACAAAATCAATTATCTTATCTTATCTTCTTTCTCACCCCATTCCTTTCTGAATTTTGCTTGGTTTACGAGTTATCTGAAAAAATTCTTTCGGAGTCCCTCCATATCATCCATAGTCCAAGATATCAAAGTTATTGTGTTCTGCAGGTTTCTTCCTCCTTCATGTTGATATTTTGGTCTCGTTTTCGTACCAAATATCTTTCAATAACCTTCTCATCATACAGGATGGCCCACTAAAATCGACCAATCTGAGCATTTTTTCGTATCTACGCTATTATCACCCAAAATATCCCTGCCAAGTAGAAAATGGGCCACCCTGTATGATGAAAATGTTATCAAATAATTAACATGAATACGTGACCAAAATATCAACATGAAGGAGGAAGAAACCTGCAGAACACAAAATTTAGAAAGAAATAAAGTGCAAAAAAAGATAGATAATTGATTTTGTTATTCAAGTAGATATTAAACGATTGTCAGTGGCGTAATCAAAAAAAGTTTTATGGATTTCAGAATGCTGAATTTGTATCTTCCTGTACATCGATTGAACTGATGGGACCTGTTATCTATGCACACTGCTTATAGTTGACTGCATTGCAAACAGCATTACCTATCAAAGATTTTGAAATATTCCATAAAATCTGAAAAAAAAAATTCCATTCCTCGCCTTCTCACGGCCCAACGGTGCATTTTCGAACAGAGGTAAGTTGGTCCCAATCGACCTATTTGGACTCTAGTTCACCCTGTTGAATTTAATGTACGTTGTTCTGGGACACCCTGTATGAGTGCCCCTATCCTCATCGATAGATCAAACCATCAACGAATAGTCTATAAGTTCAGGAACTATCGAAATGCTATCGATTCAGATTCAAGAATTCACTGCGATATATCCTTACCATCGATGATTTATGTGAAGTATTCATATACACTGTGGTCATTTAAGTGTGCAACATATGGGAATCTGTTTAATGAATTGCACAACTGAAATACAGATAGTGCCGAAAGTTAGGGCATTGCCAGTGATCATTTTGGGTTTACTTAAAATGTTTGCAAGTCAAACAGCATACAGGGTAGGTCAAAAAATATCAAAATTGTTTACGAGTAAAGTACACTAATTTTAAAAAATTCAGCAAAACGTTAATGAGAAAAGTTGTTGATAATCGGAAGATCTAAATACCAGAACATGGCTTCCTAAGACATATTTTTTGTTAATAATATCCCAATTCGTATTTCTTTCCAATATTCGCCCTGAACACTTCCATAAGGTAATCATAACAAAATCAGTTGATCATACCTCTCTCTATTCATACTTGGTGAATTATGTGTAAAAACAGTGAGAATTTCTCGATCACCCTAGTTTATTCGTTCGAAAAAAAACTCGAATTACAGAGACTAATTTTATGAACTATTATTTTCGCGCTAATTATTCTCCATTTCTAATTTGAGACCGATTACTTATGGAATTTTCCACCTACCTTCTTCTACGTCGCTGAATCGACTCCATACACCGTAACAACCCTTGCTTCCACTAGAGAATCACACTTATTTCATCAAATAATTTCGTACACGTGAGTCAATAATGGAATTCAGTCCTTTGTATCGCTCATATACTCCAGGGAAGAAGCTACACAGAGGCGTATTCATTGATTTCAAAGATGGTTTATCACTGAATGATGATCCTTGACGGAAATAAACGAAATTCTACTCTCGAAGACGAATGTCATATTAAAGCTCATTAAATAGAAATCATGTTATACAGGGTAATTCATGAGTAGACTCACATACTAATATATTTTACTAACTTACTAACAAATTTTTTGACCATCCATAACGAAGCTTTATTTTGTGATGGATGAGTAGGGTATCTGTTAGGACAAGAATTTGGATGTTTATGGTTACCAGTAGGTAGCAGTGTCTTTCATGGGTGAGGCCCTGGCAGTTTATTGCTCCGAATGTGAAATTTTCCTTCATTAGGGTTCGTTGTTCAACATTGGATTTTTGATTCATCTAGTATGTGTTCTTTGAAGTTTTGTGAAGAAAAACCTTACTTGTCCTCCCGTGCATGAACAGATGCATGAGTGTCCGAATTGGACCTATACGTTCCTATTCAGGCTCGAGAGGATGAGTTGACGTCTGGTATTGAGCATTATGATTGATTTTATGGTTTCTGTGAGTTCTGGGATGTTTTCGGAAGGGATTAGAATGACTGGGGGGAAGGGGGGTCTGGGGGTAGGGTTTGGTCCTTTTGGAGCATTTTGGGAGACAGGCAAGGTGGTCTCTATTGCAATTTTGGCATTTGGGGGTCTGAGTATTAGGATAGTGATGGAGTTTATGTGTTTCACTGCAATGAGGGCACGAAACACGGTTTTTGCATTCTTCAAGAGAATGACCGTTTTCCTCAGTATTTAGCAATGACTGGAATGGAGTTGGGATTTGAGGGTTTGACCTAGTAGTTCATTCCGAAGAAAGAAATACCGAGGTTTAGGGAGTTGGAATAGTGCGTTTCTGAGTCGGTTATTACTCTGATTAGGGTGGTAGGTTGATTTGTTGCGCGAAATGTGATTCTCCAACATTTGATTATAGGAAAGTTGAGGGATTCGATAGCCTCTTCAAGGTCATCAAGGGTGATATCATTGGGTACCCCCTTGATGACCATGGAGAAGTTTGGGTCTCTTTCTTCGGGGGTATTATCAGTTGGGATTCTTTGTGATAGCAAAATTACGCGGATTTTTTTATCGCCGGTGGAATTCTTAAGTTTGTTCTCAAAATCTTTTTGCGTGATTTGAGAGGTGGTTTTCAGGAGCGCGGTTTGATTAAGGTTTGCTTTCAGGAATGTGATTCGATTTCGGAGAAGTTCGTTGGTATTCAGGAGGTTGTGAAGTTTTTTCTGTGATCTTTGAATGATTGGTAACGATCTTGGGTTGAAGGTTTTTGTAGGGGGTATATTTTCGTTGTGTTGTATGCTATGGTTTCTGGATGATTGGTTGGGTCGTGGTTTTGTGTTTGATCTCGTGGGTATGATAGAGGTTTTGGAGGAGGATGGGGAAAGGGAGGGTGTGCTGGTTTTGTTTTCTTCAACTGCTGAAGAGAAGTTCAAGAATTCATTAATGTTCTGGAGCATCGAGGTGTCTTGTTCAAAAGATGAGGTTGAGTCGTTTGATATGTCTGGTGATGTTGGATCCGAGGAAATTCGGGGTCGGGATGTGACTGAGTCATATCCGACTCTTCCTGATGTTGTTTTGGGGTTTATCGGTTCATCGCGCATTGTTAATGAAAAATCGACTTACCCTACTATTCACTTTTCACTCACTCTTCACATTCTGCACTGCACTTTCACTGTTTACTTTCACTCGTTTGGCACAAGTTCACTCTGCTGCTTATTCCTGGAATTTGTTTGTATCAGGGACTAATTCTCTAGGCGTCTGCTCTGCTGAGATCAGTGGTGCACTGTGTTCAAATATACAATTATTGTATCAAACACTGAGCGAAAAATAAATGGACGGCACGATGCCATGCAAGCACTTTCGATCCAAAATGGCGAATAGTTCTGTGTTATTCTTGTCTTTAATGAATTACATGAGTTTTACCCTTCAGATGATCTATTGGTGCCCTGAAAGATAATTTCTTGAGAATTTGAACTAAATAAAACAATTGAAGCTTTTCCAATTTTTGTTCACATTTTTGTTGAAGTGAACGTGGAACATATTTGTTACATATCCGATTCGAAAACAGCGTCGTTAATATGATCATTTTTAGGAATCTGAAAGTAATGACACATAGTTCATTATGAAGACATAATACTAGAGACGTAACACTGTACTGGCAAGAAATGAGTTTCAGTATCGTTGTATACTGGACGTTCTAATTGCACATGATATATTCGTCATTGTCATTGTCATTGTAACTTTGAAAATAATGTCAGCAAAATTGTTTTTGTTCTCCTCCTAGCGTGGCATTCCTGAGAGTCTTTTTCCGTCGCTTGGTGCGAACGAAACGGAATCCCTATAATGTTCGAAGAACATCGTGCGTGCCTAGGGAGGATAGGGAGATGAGGTAGGTGTTTGATTTTCTCTCAACTTTTGAAGATTATGAGTCCTTGGAAATATTTTCTTAGGCAGTGAATCCCAGAGCGTTCCCGTTTTATAGAGAAACAGGTGTCTCAAATAATACGGATTCTACGAAATGGAAACATACGGAAAAACTTAACTTTGTCTGTCGTGGTAACAATACAACTAAAAAAATAAGTCCGCCACTGGATCATGCGCGAAATGTTCCAATAGACGTAGGTCATGGGACAATTATATTTCTGATGAGTTTTTAGATGAGGAAGGTCTCCAAAATGTGTAAATAATGTTCGAAATCATCCTGTATCTCATAAACGGAAACAGTTATGTAGGTGAAATCTGATAAGGCCATCTTGAGTAACACAAAAAAAAGTGCAGTAGCATGAAAACCACGAGGCTCTATCTTACTGTACAGTGCATCCCATTTTATTTGAATCTAGCAGGTTTCTTGGATGGTTTTCAGAAAAGAACCTTGCGGTTTGCACGTATCTTTCCTACATTCTTGTGTAACTCTGATGGTTCAATCAGATTTTGTGTGACTGATTCTGGTTGTGAGATACAAGTCGGTTTTGAAGAATGCTACTTTCTGGCCTCCTTCTATACAGGGTATGTCACGGCGAGCTTACACTATCTTTATATCGGGAATGGGTTCGGAGAAATTCATGAAAATGTGCAAGCTTATATCTTAGAATAGGCTCTCTCCATTACAAATATTGCCAACAATGCAGTGATGCCGCTTCTACTAGATAGTAGTAGCAACATTGATATTGCAACTAGAACACCCTGTATTTCATCGTATTTTGAGATTCATCCTGAAGAGTTGATTCCATCTGTATATCATAGTTGAAGTCTATCGGCGATAATCACTGAGATATAGGGTGTTCAAAATCAAGATTTTTCAACTTCAGGATTTTTTGTGTCGAAACTAATCATTATCGGTCAAAACGGCTCACATGTCCCCATATGAACTTTTGATTCAGTATACTGATATTCAATCAAAACAGATACAGGATGGTTCAAGATTCAGAATTCTGATCACCCTGCATCTGTTCCTGTCAAATATCAGTAAATAGTAAATCAATGGTTGAGATAGGGACATGTGAGCCGTTTTTGTCGATAATAAATAGTTTCGACACAAACAAATCCTAAAATTGTACAATCTCGATTTTAAACACCCTATATCTCTGTTATCATTCCTGATAGATCCTAAGCTTGATACATCGATGAAATCAGCTCTTCAGGGAAAATCTGAAAATGCAATGAAATATAGGGTATCACTTTGAAATAACAAAGTTTTTGCTACTTTTTGATCGAAGCGGCAACACTGCATTGCTAAAATTATTTTGAATGGAGAGTGCGTTTTCCTAAATATGAGCATGCATATTATTATGTATTTCTCCTGACCGATTCTCGATATAGAGATAGTGCGTGAGCTCGTCGTGACACACCCTGTTTATATCTGCGGAATTATTAGAATAGAAATAATGTTGCGCTGAGAACTGAGTACAGAATTTTGCATCAATAGAAATCAAAATGATAATGAGGGTCAATTCCCCCAACAAACCAACAAACAATATTTGTTGTCGTTGACACCCAGTAATTTACAATTTTTAGTAGAGAAAGTTTTGTAGAAACTAGTTGAGTGCAAAAAGGAACTATACTTGGACCTCACTGTCAGTGAAGTTTTCTACATCTACAATTCACTCCAAAACGTTCAAACCGTATGGAATAATCCGAATACAATAACTAGAGTGCCTGGTTTGATCAAACAATTAATGAAATTCTGTTATGTCAGTCTTAGGGTGACATAACGCAATGAAAACTTGAGTATGTATACAGAGGGCAAACATTCCATTAATGACGATTTGTTTAGTTGAGCAAGAGCTGAAATATATTTCCAGAGCTGAATGCACTCTAATTCCTATAGTATGCTCTCATAAATTAATCTCCCTGTATTTTGCAGGCGGCGTCTCTTCCTGAGTAGAGCTTCGTAGTTTTCTATAGTCTGGGAGATAAATAACAATTTGTGTCGCCTTGCGTGAAAATGCAAAGAGTCTTATTCCCCATGGGTGTATTCAAATGGATCGTATAGTCTACCGTTCCAATAATGCGCTAAAGGAAGGCTTGGGTTCAATATATACCTTCAGGATTTTCAGTCATCAGGGTTTTTCAAGACAGTAATTGAGTCATAATCAAGATGTTAAGTAGTTATGAGTTCACGTCTACTTTTTGACGACTATATTTTTTTCATGAAAGTAATCCAAATATAATGGAGTGCCAAATTAAAAAACTTTCACGTATTATATTCTCAACTTTACAAGTAATTCATGATACACATCAAGCATCAAATAATATATCGTAATCGGACATATAAAAGTGTTGAGAACAAGGAATATACCATCCAGCATAGACATCAAATAGTGAAATTATGGTTTAACTACCTCTACAAGTATTCTGGTGCAAAATTTGAACCACTTATTCCTTGGAGTTAGAGGTATACTGGGATAATCTATATTCCGCTCTGCAATGAGCTCATGATCATTGGTACGACGGTTCATTTCCTTTACCGCTTCATATTACCCACGCCTTCAGGTATTCAGAATCATATGTTCTGAACTGAAGCGAAGTAATCAAATCATTAGTAGTATCGAAACTCGTTCTGTACGTGGTGTTTCTTCTCTCGAATCGTGACTTGAAATTTCATGCTTTTTATGCGATTACATTTTCTGTTACATGAAATACAAACTAGGCAACATGGAAATTGAAGCTGTACAAAATTTGTCCCACCAAACGACATTATACCATGAGATTGTTCCAGGAACCCTTGCCATTCAATCCGATTGGGATAACAGGACAGGAGCTGTACAATGAAGTAGACCAAGAAGTTGATGCTACAGGAGTATATGAGAATATTACCACTGATATGATGTCGAATATTCGATTTAAACAACATAATACTATAAGATATGAATGACGAGACACCAGAACATATGGATACATGAGATCCAGACGATTTGATACTCTCAACAAAGTTAAAACCTGTGATAGAGATTAAATGGATAAAGTCGTTGAACGAGATGATTTCAATGAACCCTCTGGAGTTGCTGAAGACATCAAGGATTTGGAAAATCCATCACCACATACTCTCTTTCGTCAGTTTATCTTGGACGGAATCATATCGTTTACTAGATTAAGCTATATACTGAGCAGAATTCTTGGATATCTGAGAAGACATTTAAAAACTGATCTACTTTTCACATACTTCACATACTCGATATATTCCAAAGTTATCGATGAAAAATTTCATCATTTAGTCATCAATAAATAAGTTTATTCATCAAGAACATCAACCAAATTGACGTACCACATGGAGAAACGAAACTTAGACAGAGCCTGATAATGAGAGTCGCAAGGGTGCTCACCAACCTGTCCGAACAAGTAAAAGGAGGTTTGAAGTGAGAACAAAGTTTTTGTCTCTCCCACTCTGTCTTGGCAAAAACAAAACATGTTTGCAGACGTTCCACATTGATTCCAAATGAGTTGAGTCCCATGAATTCTTTAACCTTTTGAAAAGGTGGGTTACATGATGACCCAACCGTTTTTTTTTTAAATAGGAGAATTCTGGGATTGTTTCATATTCGTTTGTATTTTTTGAGATTTAAGTTAGTTTTTCGATAATTGTTTTGTAAAATTGGAGTAATATCAAGCTGTACATCTAGGAAGTGTCATAAACTGCAATTCCTGTACCTGAAAGAGTTATCGCAAGTGGATGAGAGTGTTCGAGACACAGAATATACCTTTCTGCATGAACAACGAATGAACAAATTATGGTTCCTCTACTCGCCAGCCCAATAATCTGGAAAAAGGTCATGGATTCATAGAGCAGCAAGTCATTACTACTTATTTTATGCATTCTCAAATTGAAATATGATGAGGCCAACCTTGGAATGAACTGTGAAAGAAATAGGAGGAAAAAACGAGAATATTATTCACTACAACAGGACCAGGAATATAATGGAAATTGAGTATTGATTGTTTTGTAACAGTATCAATATACAGGTAGATTCAAATGAGACCCATCACTAATATGATGGTACAGTGTTCCAATATCACTCAGACTCATTCCTAAATCAATGAACAATAATTACAGCAGCTGTTTTGCGAACAATCTGCTCTCAATCAAAATTTGCGAGTATCAATG